TAAAGCCAGTCAAGTGACTAGTTATGATGGCATTTACATTTGATTACTTTGTCGCAATATAAAACATCGGAGATGTGGGCGTTGGATGTTTGGAGTTTGTAGACGCTCCCTAAGGCTCTTCCCATATACGGGGACGTCGTTTAGGGACCGTCTATAAATTGCGCCGCTGAGGTCGGAACGCACACTCACGCCCCGTCAAACGCCGAGATCGACGCCGACCCGACTCTCCCGCAGGTAATAACGCAAATCCGCACGCATCTGACTGCAACTGTGTGTTTTTCACGTCTGAGTGTTGCTGGCACTTTCTTAAGCTCTGCTGGAGCGAGTTGAGCTCTGGTGTGGAATTGCTGCTTCCTGATTGGAGCGGCTGATCTGAGCTCAGTTCTGCTGCCGAACGCGTCTTCTGGTCCGGGATCTGCAGAACCTCCAGCAGGGCTGTGCTGTTTAATCTGGACGTGTGGATAGGTTTGCTGTGTTGTGTGGAGGTTGCTGCTGAGCGCAGAGTTTAAGAGCAGACGCTCACACGTTCTGAAAGTAACCGAGTGACCTTCAGGCTTCCGGTGGAACGTCTCTGAATACTCGGAGAGATATTAATCACGCGTTTGGTCGAACATTACGGTTAAACTGATCAGTTTTATAGGGACCATAAGCGGCGTGTATGACATTTAACGCCGTATTTCTAATGCACTTCTTTAATGCACTGAATAGTTGGGCTGTTATAAAGCAGTTAAAGGGCTAAAGTCCGCACGCGCGCTCAGAGTCCGGTATTATTGAGTTATTTAATAACCGGTTGTTGCGGCTCGTGGGCAGCTCCGCGCGCGATAAGATGCCGTGCTGTGATTGGTGTTCGTAGAAAAGCCGAAAATGTTACGAAATTGTGACGCAAGTCTGTAAAATGCTCAAATGTTCAAAAATGGAAAGGTGCTTTTAGCCATCTCTAGAGTATGAGAGATCATTAAATCGGTTAAAAGTTTCTGAACCCTAAAGATCAGCTTTGCATGTCTGTCAGTGATCAGTTACATCTGCATTCTATATCTGGCAGACCGCTGCGAAACGTGCTTTTTTCTTATACTTTACTTTATATTAAATTGACCTTACCCTCATAACGAGCTGATGCAGATTATTAATGAACTAAATGGTATGAAATCAAATGTACTGTGTAGTGCCTTCTCTATAGTGTGTGTGTGTGTGTGTGTGGAGTACAGTGTCATTGCTCGCATGCAAAGGTCAGTTGAACACAAAGGTCAGGGTTCAGCAAGGCTTGGTAAAGGTCATATAAAGTTGTAGAGGTATGACAGAGATTCCTCGCTCTCTCTCTCTCTCTCTCACACACACACACACACACACAGAAGGTATTTTCTGTCTTCTGCTGTAGCCGCTCTATTAATAGAGAAACCTCAGACTGTATCGGTGTCAGACAGCTGAAGTGTGTACAGTATTTTATGGTTTGTGCAGATATTTTTAATCCTAATCTTTTTGAGATTTGCTCACAGTGAAATGAATGAGCGTCTATGGCGAAGCATTGCAGCCAAAATTTCTCTTTAAAAAAAAAAAAAAAACTACTACCTAACTTTCATAAAAAAAAATCCGAGTGACCTTCAGGCTTCCGGTGGAACGTCTCTGAATACTCGGAGATATTAATCACGCGTTTGGTCGAACATTACGGTTAGACTGATCAGTTTTATAGGGACCATAAGCGGCGTGTATGACATTTAACGCCGTATTTCTAATGCACTTCTTTAATGCACTGAATAGTTGGGCTGTTATAAAGCAGTTAAAGGGCTAAAGTCCGCACGCGCGCTCAGAGTCCGGTATTATTGAGTTATTTAATAACCGGTTGTTGCGGCTCGTGGGCAGCTCCGCGCGCGATAAGATGCCGTGCTGTGATTGGTGTTCGTAGAAAAGCCGAAAATGTTACGAAATTGTGACGCAAGTCTGTAAAATGCTCAAATGTTCAAAAATGGAAAGGTGCTTTTAGCCATCTCTAGAGTACTAAATCGGTTAAAAGTTTCTGAACCCTAAAGATCAGCTTTGCATGTCTGTCAGTGATCAGTTACATCTGCATTCTATATCTGGCAGACAGCTGCGAAACGTGCGTTTTTCTTATACTTTACTTTATATTAAATTGACCTTACCCTCATAACGAGCTGATGCAGATTATTAATGAACTAAATGGTATGAAATCAAATGTACTGTGTAGTGCCTTCTCTATAGTGTGTGTGTGTGTGTGTGTGGAGTACAGTGTCATTGCTCGCATGCAAAGGTCAGTTGAACACAAAGGTCAGGGTTCAGCAAGGCTTGGTAAAGGTCATATAAAGTTGTAGAGGTATGACAGAGATTCCTCGCTCTCTCTCTCTCTCTCTCACACACACACACACACACACAGAAGGTATTTTCTGTCTTCTGCTGTAGCCGCTCTATTAATAGAGAAACCTCAGACTGTATCGGTGTCAGACAGCTGAAGTGTGTACAGTATTTTATGGTTTGTGCAGATATTTTTAATCCTAATTTTTTTGAGATTTGCCCACAGTGAAATGAATGAGCGTCTATGGCGAAGCATTGCAGCCAAAATTTCTCTTTAAAAAAAAAAAAAAACTACTACCTAACTTTCATAAAAAAAAATAGTTAGATCATGTCTAAATATTCAAATGTATATTTTCTAAACACAATCTACAAATCTTGCTTCGTCCATGTACTTTCCATTATGGTCATAACATGATTTTGACCTGGTATGCAATTTTCCTTTTTTTTTTTTTTCAGCAATCTGGCTCAAATACATAATTGTTCATATTTTCTTTGCAACTTATAGAAATTTATTTATTTAAGCATTTATCAGGAACATTGGTTTTATATAATTGTGACCTGAACGGTCTCTGTCTCTCTCAGGATGTCTATCAGTAAGATTCACGCTCGTGAAATCCTCGACTCCAGAGGAAACCCCACCGTCGAGGTGGATCTGTACACGGCTAAAGGTACAAACACAATCACTCTGACTGTCTATCAGCCCTAGTGACCGCACAACTGTTTTTATTCTTTAAACTCCAAAATTAAACTCTTTTTTTATACCATATTTTGTCGAGCCATCATTCAGAGTTTATCTTGAGGAAATGTTCCCTCTCTAGTTTGTAATTGATTGATTGATTGATTGATTGATTGATTTTGTTTCCAGGTCGTTTCCGGGCGGCTGTTCCCAGCGGCGCTTCCACTGGCGTTCATGAGGCTCTGGAGCTCCGAGATGGAGACAAGACGCGCTACCTGGGCAAAGGTACGTCTACCTATATCACACTCACTCTCTCACTCTCTCACTCAGTCAAATCATCTATGTATATGTATATATGTGTGTGTGTGTGTGTGTGTGTTTAAGGTACCCAGAAGGCCGTGGATCATGTGAACAAAGAGATTGCTCCCAAACTGCTTGAGAAGGTGAGATCATGCACGGATCATAAAGTGACTTGTGTTATGATTATTTATATAGTAACATAATCAAAAACAAGAGTTATTAGTGTTTATTATTATTATTATTATTATTATTACTACTACTATCATTAAATAAATAAAAAAATTCTAGCTGAATTACCCAATATCGCAGATGTAGTATCTGTTTATCATTATCATTTTTGCGTCACATTTTTCTCATATTGATAACGGTCAATATCAAAATGCTTGTCTACTAAATACTTGCAACCTAATAAGCTTTTTAACTGAATTATTTAATAATTTAATTTCTCTTGAACATATGCAATATTTTATTATTAATTAAACCACTGAAATCCCCCGTAAAGCTGGTAAACAGTTTTAATGTATTTAACTCCTCTCATCATCCGTGTGTCTGTGAACAGAAGTTCAGCGTCGTCGATCAGGAGAAGATCGACAAGTTCATGCTGGAGCTCGATGGAACTGAGAACAAATGTAAGTCAAACACGCACCTCTTAAAAAATAACTTCCTGTAGATCATGGTGGGTGCAGTGTGAAAATCACCTAATATAAATGTTTATATATTGATTGATATAATGTAAATGTAAGTTGCTTTGGATAAAAGTGTGTCAAATGCATAAATGTATTGATAAAGGCTACAGATGAACGCTTAAAGAAAACGTTTCTGCAGATTTAGAAAAGAAACGCAGTATTTCTGAATCGTATCTGCTTGCTTCCCGTCACGCAGCCAAGTTTGGTGCTAATGCGATCCTGGGTGTGAGTCTGGCTGTGTGTAAGGCGGGCGCCGCTGAGAAGGGCGTTCCTCTGTACCGCCACATCGCCGACCTCGCAGGAAACAAAGACGTGATCCTGCCGGTTCCTGTACGTGTGCCACCCGCC